AACCCCCCAGGCCACCCATGCAAAGGGTTCCCACTCCATTTAGAACTAGCAATTCCCCTAGAGCAGGAAGAGAGCTAGCCTTGCCTCCCTCTGCCTCTAGCATACAGCTCAAGGAGCACCATTGTATCACTAGTGCCTTAGTGATCATGCGGAGACCCCGCAGAGCAGGACTAGGGGTGTTATCTCCTAGGAGAGCCCCGAACCTGGGTAAAGTACGCTGGCGTTCGTGTCTACGCCTTATCCCGCTTCCAGGCACCGGCGACGTTCTACTCGCTCCCACCATGATAAGCCATCCATTGGCATATGTCGCCCCCAACCCCCGACAATCCCACCATTCTCATCTCTCAACAACTTGATGTTCAAGATAACATCAGCTACTCCTAGATCCTTCATCTCAAAACAACGAGATAGGAAATCCTTAACCTCCTTGATTAGATCAAGTTTGGTTCCAAAGATCAGTATGTCATCGACATACAGACAAAGAATAACTCCTTCGCCCCCACAATGGCGATAGTACACACACTTGTCACCATCATTTACCACAAAGCCGGCACCAGTTAATGTTCTTTCGAACTTCTCACGCCACTCCTTAGGAGCTTGTTTAAGGCCATATAAAGACTTTAATAACTTGCACACCTTTCCTTCCTGACCAAGTACTACAAAACCATCTGGCTGATCCATGTAAATTTCCTCCTTCAACTCTCCATTGAGGAAAGCCGTCTTAAGTCCATTTGATGAATAAGAAGACCATGTGAGGCAGCTAGTGATAGTAGCACCCAAATTGTGGTCAGTCTAGCCACGGGTGAGTAAGTATCAAAGAAGTCTTCACCTTCTTTCTGGGTATAACCCTTAGCCACAAGCCATGCCTTGTACTTTTCAATCGTACCATCAAGTCTAAGCTTCTTCTTGAACACCCACTTACATCCTACAGGTTTGCACCCACGGTCAGTGATCTCTCAGGTTCCGTTAGCTAAGATGGAATCCATCTCTCTACGAACAGCTTCCTTCCAGTGGTCAGCATCAGGAGATGCATAGGCTTCTGAAATAGTCCTGGGTGTGTCATCCACAAGGTACACAATGAAATCATCACCAAAGGACTTTGCAGTCCTCTGTCTCTTACTCCTTACAGGAGTTTCATTGTCACCCTCAACAGGATTCTCAACGTGTTCCATCGCAATGATGGGTTCAGGAATTATAGTGAGTTCCTCACTAGATGGAGTAGGTATCTCCTGATTTGATGAACTTGACATATCCTTCATAGGAAATATGTCCTCAAAGAAAGTTGCATCATTAGACTCCATAATCGTACCAACATGCATGTCGGATATCTCAGATTTTATTATTAAAAATCTATAGCCAATGCTATGAAAAGCATAGCCCAGAAGACACAATCCACGGTTTTTGGTCCAACCTTGCGCTTCTTGGGAATTGGTATATTGACTTTCGCCAAACAACCCCAAGAACGCAGGTAAGAGAGTTTCAATCTTTTCCTTTACCATTCCTCAAATGGAGTCATGGTCTTATGCTTTGTGGGAACTCAGTTTAGGACATGACACGCAATCATTAGCGCCTCCCCCCATCATTCCTTGGAAATATCTGACGTGTCTAATATGGCATTAACCAAATCAGTTAGAGTTCGGTTCTTTCTTTCGGCCACCCCATTTGACTGAGGTGAGTAGGGAGGCGTCCTCTCATGGATTATACCATGTTCCGCACAAAAGAGATCAAATTCATTGGAAAAATACTCTCCACCAAGATCGGACCTAAGCCGTTTCATTTTTCGATCAAGTTGGTTCTCTGCCTCAGCTTTATAGTTTTTGAAGAAAGTTAAAGCCTCATCTTTTGATTTCAGAAGATACACATAACAATATCTAGTGGAGTCATCAATCAACGTCATGAAATATCTCTTTCCACCTTTTGTCAACACGCCATTCATCTCACAAAGATCAGAATGTATAAGCTCTAGTGGCGCCAAATCTCTTGCCTCTGCAGTCTTATGGGACTTGCGAGGTTGCTTTTGCACACATACTTGGCACTTAGAGCCATTGACAGTAGAGAATTTCGGAATTAAATTCATATTGGCTAGCCGCGTCATGAAACCAAAGTTAATGTGACAAAGTCGTGAATGTCAAATATCCAACTCATTATTGTGGTAAACATTATTAATAGCTTTAGTGCAAATATCTGACAAAGATAGGCGGAACAAGCCTCCGCACTCATAGCCTTTTACAACAGATTGTCCACACTTGGAAATTACAACTTTATTGGACTCAAAAACCAACTTAAAACCATCTCGACATAAACGGGAACCGCTAACGAGATTTTTATTGATGGACGACACATGATGAACGTTCTTCAGACGCACGGTCTTGCCCGAAGTAAACTTCAGATCGACCGTATCGACACCTCGAACGATGGCATGTGACCCGTTTCCCATCAGCACGGGAGAAGTCCCTGTGACCTGGTAAGAAGAAAACATTGAGGCGTCAGCACAAACATGTACATTGGCACTGGTGTCAATTAACCAATCAGGAGATTGAAATATTGAAAGGATGGTAAGAAGAATACCGTACCCAGATTCCTTCATATCAGTATCACCAATGACAACATTAGCGGACTTGCGCTCTTCTCATGTTCGCGCTCCTCAAAGCGGTTAGGACACTTTGGAGCCCAGTGATTAGGATCACCGCAGACATGGAAAAGTCCCTTCCCCTTCTTGTGAGAATTCTTCTTGAAGTTGGTAGAATGCGATGGCTTGTTCTTTGTATCAAACTTACCTTTGCCCTGAGTTTTGTTCTTGTTGTTTTTGAACTTGTTGGGCTGGAAGTTCTTCTTCTGTACCATGTGGGCGCTAGAAGCTCCCTCGGCAACTCGAGCACGTGTGTCCTTTGCTCTCGCCTTCTCTTCAACATCAAGAGTACCAATGAGATCCGCAACGGAAAACTCTTGTCTCTTGTGTTTCAGGGAAGTAGCAAAATTATTCCACGAAGGTGGAAGCTTGGCAGTGATGCCTCCGGCAACAAATTTGTCCGGCAACACACACTTGAAGTACTCAAGTCCTTTTGCGAGCGACTGTATCTCATGAGCCTGCTGTATAACAGAGCGCTCATCAGTCATCTTGTAGTCATAGAATTGCTCCATGACGTACAACTCGCTGCCGACGTCCGAGGCACCAAACTTGGCCTCGAGCGCAGCCCACATGTCCTCGCCATTGTCAAACAACATATACGAGTCCACAATGGAGTCATCAAGAACACCCAGAAGAGCACCTTCAAAAAGAGTATCGATCTTCTCAAAAGTTTCCAGCTGTGCTGGATTAAGATCGCCCTCAGGCTTGCCCTTGGTGGCGTCATAGCAGCCCATGGTCTGAAACCAGTAGACTGCTCGCGTGCACCACCTCTTATATTGCGCCCCCTTAAAGGCAGGCGGCTTCAGATGCGCAGTGAAACCACGGAGCAAATTGCCTATAATCAGGTTTTTGGATTGTTGGAAATATGAGCAAATTACTACCAGATTTAATCCGAATAAACAGAAGATAAATCATGGCTACAGTAGCAAAGATTGAACTAATCATGCTAACTAGCATAGCAGATGAACAGATCACATCTAGGGCACATACTAGAAACATGAATTCTACCACGATCTCGAATAGGAAAGATAGAATCACATACGGTGCAGCGGGAGCAGCACCGCCGGTGTTGACGTTGTCGCCCATGTCGTCGAGGATGAGGTTGCCGACGTCGGGGAAGAAGTCGTCGCTGCCAGCAGTCGCGCGAGTGCTCTCCCCAAAAACCTGATCGCCCTCTCCCGTACAGGATCACGAGAGGCGGGGTTCCGGAGGCCTGCTGTCCCTTCTCCCGGTGCACGCCGAAAGGAGGGATGGAGAAGGCTTGCTTGGCAGCGCAATGATCTGGAACGGTGGTGAGAAACCATACGAAGCGGTGGTGGCTAGGGTAGACGTCTGCCTGACTATATAGTGCGGACCGGGTAGGTCGTGGGAGTAAACCCCACGTCCGAGTCGTCACGATCCAAAAGAATTGAAAATTGTTCAGTCCGTCAATTATTAATTAATGACTCATTAATTTTTCCTGAGCAGCAAAAATATAGACAACGTGCATAACTCTTTCCTCGGCTCGGCTCAATCCCGCAACCCGCGTCGCGTCGTGACGAGGAGGAGGAGCGCGCGTGTAGGTCTCCTCTTCTCATGCTCATACAAGTGGTAGAAGAGCTCACCTTATAAAGAGGTGCAACTCTTTCTCAACTTATGAGGTGGGACTAAACTTTAGCCTCACTCACTCCACTCACATGTGTGCATGAATGGGCCAAGAGAATTTTAGAATTTTAATTGGGCTTTTGCCCAATAGCCCACCAGCAAATTCCAACATGTTCATCAGCGAGGTGGTGAGCGATTATTTATAACATAGTTGGACAAGCAGGAAAGTATATGTTTCAGGCTGAAATGAAACAACGATGGCGAACACCTTGGTAAAAGTTGTGCTTGAAGTTTTGCTTCATACTATCTTAGTGTGAGTAGCGACGTTGCCCACTACTGTCTACTAGGGCACTCAAATTCAGCTCAGAGAGTGTCCAAGCAGCACTGATATTCTTGTTACATATGCGAGTGCCCATTGGTTTCCAGTAATTCCTATGGTATCAAAAAACAGTATGTTTTCCCCGTCACGCTGATCATGCAGTAGGGTTCCCTGCTATTATTGTCTGTCTTCATTTGCCAGCTTTGGCCAGGTCCTCCTACATTTAGGCATTGCCGTTAGAAAATAGAAGCACGCTAATCAGTCCAAGTGTTTAACCTCGTTTTCCTTTCCTTCTCATCCCTTTATATTTATCAAATTAAATTATAAGGGCATGAGATTCTGAAACAATCGCCGGGATCGAGATTCCGAGGTTAACAATCGCCGTTGCTCTTCAAAAGAATCTTGCAAGAATCAGATACAAGCGCTCGACCTGAAGGTTAACCAATCGCATGGACCTTGGTGACGACGATGGACGCTGACGCCCAGGCGCCGGAGGCACCGTCGTCGCCGCCGCCGCCCCGGTCCGCCCGGTCGAGGCCGTCGAGCTGGAGCAGCAGCGGCAGCTCCGAGTACACGAGCCTCCGGGACGTGCTCTCGGAGCTGGGCAACGGCGGCGGCGGCGGCAGCTCCTCCGACCTCCACGACTTCGACACCTCCAACATCCCCATCCGCAACCAGCTGCTCAAGCACGCCGCGTCCGCCTACCTCCAGTCCGCCATCGTCGTCACGCCGCGCGAAAGGGGCTGCCTGAGCAGGGCCTGGCGCCGCCGCTGCCGCATCCTGCTCCGGCCGTGCCCCGAGTGCGAGTGCGACGTGGACGTCGACCCCGTCCGCCGCTGCGCCGCGGCGTTGGCCGGCTCGGTGCGCCGCGTCCTTGCCTCCCTCTGCGGCTGCGTCGCCTGCGTGTGGACGTAGCGCGCACAGATGCACCGCTGCCCCACGGCGGCATTGCACGAGACGAGCTGCCATCGTGACATCGTCGCTGGCGTTTGGCCATGCATGCATGCATGCATGCTGATGTTTTAATTACTACGCTGAACATGACTGCTTCGTGTATGTGCACGTAGGCATGATTTTGCTCTTTGCATTCTTAATTAGAATCGCGATGGTGTCTGATACTACGACCGTACATATCTAGACGTGGGACTGTTTAACTTCAATTTGTTGGAGATGTAAATTATTATGATCTGCAATAGCTGTCGAACCTTCCCTGCTAGGGGTGGCATTTGCAAAAGTTTTTGCTGACGGTTTCTTGAGAGATGCATGGCATTTTCTTCACACACGCATGTCAGTATCTGCAAAGAAAAATTAAAGGCAAAAACGAACAGAAACTGTCATCGTTTGATCTCGCGTCGCAACTAACGCTTTCAGCAAAATGCGTTTCTTGAGAGATTTGTGACGTTTGATCTCGCGTCGCAACTGGCATTTGCAAAAAAAATGTGTTTCTTGAAACGAAATGTGTTTGATCTCACCTCGCAACTGGCATTTGCAAAAAACAAAAAAAATTGCTGGCGGTTTCTTCAGAGACGCGTGGCATTTTCTTTTGAGACGCATGTCAGTTTATGCGCGGGAAATTTTGACGCAAAAACGATCAGAATTGTCATCGTTTGATCTCGTGTTGCAACTAAAATTTTCAGAAAAAAATCGTTCGTTTGCCATCCCCTTCCTAGGTAACGTCAGTCAGATAACATTACAGATTATTATTGCCTGAGATTCTTTATTACCTTTGTTAAATCAAATATGGATTGGCGGATCGTGGATGGAGGGCTCGTCCTTTGTTTCCTTCAAAGTAATCCGGCTTTAGGACATAAGGGGAGAAGCTTCTTCTCCCTGCAAAAAAGAGAGGAGGAGAAGCTTCTCAGGCTTTTGGGTGTTAACAATGAAGGAGAAATAAGTGTGTAAATTGGTTTCAACTCGTGCCCCTTCCCTGAAGAATGGGATGGCTTATATGTGAACCATTCAAATCTGCCTGTTATGTCCCATGCCACACTATCTGGAACTTCCGGGCTTCACCCAAAGTTCCAGTCGGTATCCGGGCTAAACCTCCTACCCCATTTTAGTAGCTCAGAAGCACCATCCAGAGTGTCATCTAAAGCCTCAAATGAAACCTCTAGGCCACCTTCCTATTGGTTTAGCCCCCTCCCCTCCCGCGTCACCACCGTGTGGCGATAGGGGGGAAACCTAGTTCCCGTCACTGGTCAAACCACCCACCCTCTCCCTCGCCGTCACCAGGGGCGCGCCCGGGTAAGCCCGGGCACCGGCGGTGGTGAACCTTCGTCTCCTCGCCCGTGACACCTCTTCGCGGGCTGAGGCATCTGGGCCGTGGACGTGGCGCTAGGCGGTGGGCGGCGTTGTGTAGTTGCTTCCCAGAGATGGTCGAAGACAGTGGAGAGCGATGATGTGACAAATATCATGGTGGCACTGTACACATGGCTAGGTGGCTGGCCTAGATCTGCCCATCCCATGGTGCGGGTCGTGGGCGACTTTGGCTGCGGGTGGCCGCCCGTGCCTCGGCAGCTGTCTAGTGTGGGTGGCACACAGTGGCGTTGAGGCTGGGGGTGTGATGGCCAAGAAAATGTTGGTACCTTCCTGGTCTGGCGCCCGGACGACGGCGGTCGGTGTGAGGAGGCATCTCCAGTGAGCTCTTTTGGGTGTTGTTGCGGTCAATTTGGTTTCACTCATCGGTGAGCAAGCGTTTTCTGGTGGCCTCGTAGAGATTTGTGACGTCATGGTGATGCGACACAAGGTGTGTTCGGTGGGAGGTCGGTAGGAGGGATGGTAGGCTCTGACGTGGTAGGGTCACCTGTCGCTAGCGTAGGGATGTGCCGGTCATGGATGCATTTGCTCCTCCTCCTCCCCGTTTTCTCAGTTGAGTGTGGGCTGGTGTTTGGTGAAGGTCTGGCAATGTTGGGGGCAGAGGGACTATTGGCGGCTCCGTTGGTTGGGGTTTCCGGTCGGGCCAAAGCAGGGGTGTTTAGATGTTCACGGGGTTGTCTAGATGAAGGTCTGCGGCCTTGGTGCGGGAGGTCAGTACTCGTGGGTGGTTTACGCGTCTCGGGTGCACACTGGCAGTCATGGCCACACTGTGACATGGTTGTTGGTGGTCGGCGTATAGAGTGGCGATGGTGTCGCAGGTGCTCTAGCGTCTGGGGGTACCCTGGTCTACCAGGTTGACGACGGTGGCGTCCGCGGGCGTCGTTTCCATCCGGAAGGCTCCATTGAGGTTGCTCCCACCTCCTCCGTGCTACTGATTTTTGGGGTCGGGCGGTGGTGGCACTCCGGTGTCGTGCCATTCTTGGAGGCACCGTCTTGCACTACGAAAAAAAGACGCATCCTGGTGATACTCGTTTGTCATAGAAGGTCACATTTTCTGTCACCCATGTACATCTGTGACAGATTTACAACAATAATCATTTTTCATTCACGAAAGTGTCCACTTCCATGATGATAAATGGCACGTCATAGAAGTATTTTCATCAAGGGTTACCGACACGTGACAACCACTGTAATGGGTCGCCGTTAAGCCTTCAGTGCGGGTTCTGGATTTGATATCCTTTAACAGCTTTGAAAAAAAGGGCAACCTGGTGCATGTAGCTCCCGCTTGCGCAGGGTCCAGGGAAGGGTCCGACCACTTTGGGTCTATAGTACGCAGCCTTTCCCTACATTTCTGTAAGAGGCTGTTTCCAGGACTTGAACCCATGACCTCATGGTCACAAGGCAGCAGCTTTACCACTGCGCCAAGGCTCCCCTTCCTTTAACAGCTTTGACCAATGACAAATTTTCACGTGTCAGCTTCTCATTCGCCAACGGAGCCACGTGTCAGCTCTACCTTGTCCAACGAATGATATGCGCCTATAAAATTTCGACACGTGGCACGGGCTCAATAGTGCCCGTTTAGTTAAAATGGCCATCCCAACTAGTGGCCCACCAGATTTAGGCAAAAGTTAGCGGGTCGGACCACTAATGACTTGGTTGCCTATAGCCCACTTACAGTACGATATTGTCCAGCCCATAAGGATATGTGCCAATTCGGCCCGCCACCGGCCCGTGGGGAATTCGGTGTCATTACGGCCCTTTGGTACTTCCGGCCCATTAGCACCTCGTAAACTTTATGGGCCCAATTCCGACCCGCTTTGTCTTCCTGTCTAATAAAGGCCTGTGGTACACTTGAACTGATTTTTTAAAATCTCCCATTCACCTCACTCTAGTTGATTACTTTGATCCTACACCAAAGCAAAAGCACAAGAAACTAACATAGGAGCAAAGTGTTCCATGGTTGGTTCAATTTCTTTCTTCGGTCAAATTGACCCAAGACTTCTGGCAAATCATGTCATCATAGATCAACAAGGTGGCGAAGTTTCAGGTCAAATGGCCAAGTGGATCTAGGGGTTGCTTCACAAGTGCCATCAAAATGAATCTTTTCCAACTCAAAGACAGACTCGATCATGACCTTGTTTTGGATACGCCATTTTGCCATATCCTCTACCTATAACTTTTAAGTTTCATGGTGAACTAGTCAGAATGCTGCTTATTAAGACTTTATTAATTTAAAGCCAGATGCAACTTGCATCTTCATTCTAAAAAAACAAGTGCCATCAAGACCCAAAACTACTGTCTGGATGATTTGGTGGAAATGTGTATGACGAGTCTCAATGATTTTGCATAATTAGACCATTTGCAACCCTAGGAGGCTATATAATATTTTCCAAGATTTATGGAGGGCATCAAAGTGTGGTTTGGAATTAATGACCATTAAAGGGTATACATGAAATTAATGTCCATTTACAATAATTTAACTAGAACATGGGACATTTTTGGTGGAACGGGGTTTCATATGTGGAGAGAAACTTATATGATTTTTTGAAGAATTTTGCATGTAATGTGGATGGTTGCTTTTGGAAGTAAGGCCAGGGTTTTGGAATCCCAATGTTCAGAAATATTTCTTTGAGGAAAAACCAAGGGAGCAGGCTCCAAGCCTCCAACCAGGGGCGGACCCAGAAAAAAGTTGAGAGGGGGCAAAAATATATGGCCATATTCATGAATTAACAAGGCGATTCTCCATATAAACTAAAACCTAGGCAAAATCACTTCATTCTCCATGAGATAACCACATTCATAGCAAATTTAAAAATATAACAATTTGAAATAAAATGACTTACATCAGTATTTCAATATCTTCTTCTGAAGCTGCCAAAGAGAACATTGACACATTGTTTAACAATCCAACCTACAACCTGGAAGAAAAAAAAAACGTTGTCAAATGGAGGGAGAATGAATACTTTGAAGAATGCCTTTATAAAATTGAAAAAGGGCTTTAGCACATTACCTTTCATTTCATCTCATGACGGTTTTCACCTCATGAAAACGTGTAACTATCACATTAGATTTTTTTTTTTTGCAATTCTTTTTTGACAAAGCAAATACGACTATGGTTCATACCAGTTAGCACTAAAATGTCGATTGATCTTCACATTTGTGCATGGCTTCAACTTTTTAGGACGACGCCGATGAGGCCCTCACATCAAGTACTTTCTTCTTATATCCTCGTGTTGATTGGGATTGTAATATGCAATCCTCTTCCTTTCTCTTTGTGAGTCCTCTTCCTTTTAGATGGATGCATTGGAAGCTTGTTCAAATCAACTAGTTTTCAGGCATCTTGGAGATTGTTGGTTTTTGGAATAACCTCTCCATTACATTCCCAGCAACTTTTAAGTGCTAAAACGCAAAACATTGAATGAACATGTCAAGTTGAGCATCATACATGAAGGTGAAGTGTGCAGAAAACTAGGAAGAATAGATTATTCAAATGTAATTTTGAGTGTGTCAGTCTAGACTAAAATTGGAACTGAAATTTACATCTTACGAGATAATTGTGTGAACTGACCAGTCATCTAAATCTGAAAATTATACACATA